TATCCCAGAAAGCTTTGCGCGCGTTGTTGGAAAATTAGGCACCAGTCTGTGAGTCTGTCAAAACCGCGCTCTTCGTGAGAATTTTTGGTGGTGTTTTGTCAAGAGACAAAATACCTACCTCCACAAAGACTATAAATATTTTTGTAAATATATTTTCAATGAACTCATAAAAAATTTAAAATTAACTCAAACTGGTAATTTTTGACCAGTCAAATAAATACATTTACCCTTTCTCAATTCTCACAACTGTTTCTATGAATAGGAAATAAATAGCTTTTTAAGATCGAATTATTTTGCTATTTATTAGCTATTTTAACAATAGCTCTAAAAATAAAAGTAAACATAGTTTAAAGATAGCTATTTAATAGCCATTTGAAGAAACTTCGCCACAACTTTCTATGAATAGGAATCAAATAGCTATTTAAGATCTATTTATTTTCCTATTTAATAACTATTTTAACAATACTCAATAATAGCTCCAAAAATAAAAGCAAACATAGTTTAAAAATAGCTATTTAATAGCTATTTGGAACAAAGTTCGCCACAACTTTCTATGAATAGGAATTAAATAGCTATTTAAGATCTATTTATTTTCCTATTTAATAACTATTTTAACAATACTCAATAATAGCTCCAAAAATAAAAGCAAACATAGTTTAAAAATAGCTATTTTATAGCTATTTTGAACCAAAGTTTGCCACAACTTTCTATCAATAGGAATTAAATAGCTATTTAAGATCTATTTATTTTGCTATTTAATAAATGTGTTAAGAATGGCTCCAAAAAGATAAGCAAAAATAGTTTAAAAATAGCTATTTAAAACTATTTTAACTGACTCGTTTGTCATCAATAGGAATTAAATAGCTATTTAAAAGCTATTTTATAGAGAGATTGCGTCAAATACTCTTTCAAATAGGATTTGAATACCTATTTAAAAGCTATTTTTTTGAAAAATATAAATAACATATATTTTAAATAGAGTGTGAATAGTCATATCCTATTTTATGAAATTTGATAAATAGTAATAAAATAGTCGTATTTTTGAAAAAATACGGAAAAAATAGGGCTAAATAGAGAAAAAATAGGTATAAAATAGGCTATAAATATGTCGGATTCTACTTGTAGAATCAGACACTATTTAATTGCTATTTAATTCCTATTTTATTGGGCTATTTAATTCCTATTTGTCAAAGTATTTATTTCCTATTTTTACTATTATTTTTTCTCGAGGTTTTTCCTATTTAAATTAGGGTAGAAAGGCTATTTTTTTCCTATCCAAGTAGAACCATATTTTTTTCCTATTTATGATATATTTCTAAACAAATACTTAATTGATGTACTCGAATAGAAATTAAATAGGTTTCAAATATAATATAAAAATAGGGCTATTTAGGGAAATTATTAAAAATAAATAGTTTTGACATAGTTAATAAATATATATGAAATAGTTAAAACATAGTGACAATATAGGTAAAAAATATGTAATAAATAGCTGAAATGAGTTCCAACAATGTTTGAAATAGTCAATAAATAGTTCAAAAATAGTGATAATATAGTTTAAAAATAGATAATAAATAGTAAAGCTGCTATTTAATTCCTATTTTATTGAGCTATTTAGTTCCTATTTTTCAAAGTATTTATTTCCTATTTTTACTATAGGGCAAAACAGAAACTGCTACTATTTTTTCTCGAGGTTTTTCCTATTTAAATTAGGATAGAAAGGCTATTTTTTTCCTATCCAAGTGGAACCATATTTTTTTCCTATTTGATATATTTTAAACAAATACTTGATGCACTCAAATAGAAATTAAATAGGTTTCAAATATAATATAAATATGGCTATTTATGGAAATTATTAAAAACATATAGTTTCGGCATAGTTAATAAATATATATAAAATACTTAAAACATAGTGAACATATAGGTAAAAAATATATAATAAATAGCTAAAATGAGCATTATAAATAGTTGAAAACTAGTGATAATATAGTTTAAAAATAGATAATAAATAGTTAAAATACACCACATGCAGCTTGTTAAACATAGATAATAAATAGTGGATATAATATTGTTCAAATAGATTAAAAATAGTTAAAAAATAGTAATAACATATTAAACAAATAGTTATTTAATACAGTTAAAATAGTTATTAAATAGTATATATATACAAAATATAGCCTATATATATATTCTATTAATATTTTTAAAATATATTATAAATAGTTAAAACGTAGATAGTAAAAAGTTAAAAATAGTCTTTAAATCAAACGTCTGCATAGTGTCCATCTGCTACTTTTTCTATTTGCTGCAGTGACTTCATTGGTCTTCAGTGCCTATGGAATATAGAAAATATGCCCAGTTAATTTTATATCAATACCACTTTATTAATTGTATGCAAAGTTGATTTACGCACTGCCTTTTGAAATTATAGAAGTGCTGAAACATCAGAGGTTACTATTGGTAGACGGCTAGCTGGCACTATTTCTTTGTACAATGCATTGGGAAAATCTCAAAAACTTTTCATGGCAACGAAATAACTTGCATACAATAAAATAACTATTAATCACAACAAATCTGTCTTTCCATTCTTCTTCCCATTGCTATGCACCAACACATTGCACTTCAACCTTAGCGCCTGCATTATGTGGCTTCGGGTACATGCTTTTGCTGTCGTCGCTCTTGCAGCTGGCTCATTCTCCGCACTACTTTCGTCGATGCTCTTTTTAGTCTTTTCAACAATTATTGCCACCATACAAAAATCTGTACAAAATAATAAATATATTCTAGTGAGTATAGTGATGATCGATATAAATATTGCTAGTGATGTCATACCATCAGTTGGGCTTTATCGCTAGACTAGAAGAAAGCTAATTAGTCAGGCTAAATGTACTAACTAAATAGCATATATTATATGCCATTTATTAATCTTGTCTCATACCAATAATTGCATCTACCACATCTTTGTTCAGCTCATGCAGCCTTTTCCCTTCCAGTTCAGCCTTTGGGTAGAACACAGATAAAAGGCTACATGCCAGGCCAGTTCGTGTATTGGAATTTCTAACTGCTGCTTTCACCTTGACGGGGCAGCACCATACTCCATTGCTGATTTCTTCCCACTGTGTACAAAAAATTAAAAAATAATAAAATTTTTTAGTATATTTTAAAGTAATAAACAACATCTATAGAATATGGTCGCACTCGGATGTTCACCATTAAGGCATCTGGCTTATCAGATATCTTGCTTTATTTTCTGTAGCAAGAAAATTTTTCCTGTGTATAATCTCTACTTGTACACTAAACATGAATTACTTGATTTAATTTGCATGCCAAGTTACAAAGTACTGGCACCTACATTTCTAGAAATCGCAACACTCCGTGGAACCTTTCCAAATCTCACATTGACATTGTTAGTGGTGTTTTCGTTGACCTTTCCAAGAGTGTCTAAAATAAACATCGAAAAGTCTATATGTGCATTTATATTCAGTGATTTAACTCTGTTATGTAATGGAAGCTTGAAATGAACAGGTGATCAATAACAAATTTACTGTATCCCAGGTTATAAATTAAAATGAAGTTTATGCAATATGTCAAATCCGACTACAGTATGAGGACTTCACTGGAAATCCAGTCCATGCAATTAACTAATTCTGACGCAAAGCCAAGGACTGAACTAATTGCAAGGACTTGATATCCTGTGAAGTCCGAATTGAAGCATTTGGAATGACAACCTACACAAATCACTTAATCCAACCCAGAACTGAATAAATTTTGATCTATTGTCACAAAACTGGATCAATGTGCTTCATCAAGTGTCCAGTATTATCATATTAACAAAATAAAGCAATATTGTTTTCTACTTCCCTAACAAATTATTAGTAAACTAATACAGTATGTTTAAGCAAATTCCAGTTATCAGATTACAGATGTCAACCTGTCAAGTGTCAATGCTTGTCTCAAACATACACTACCAGTATTTTACTCTAACAAAAACTTGTAAATTTCAAAGTACTGTACACGCAGAGGTGACACATTCAAATTCAATTGGAATTATGTTATGACAGATGAATTGGGGCTTCAGTGGCCAAGTGGTTAGTGCAGTTGCCTTGGACCACCTCTGGTGAGAACTTTCTCAATGTGACTTGAATCCAGTCCTTATGTGAAAAGAGTAAAAGTCAACGCTCTGCCGAAAGCTGTGGGCTTTCCGCGGATACTGCGATTTCTTCCCACAGGAAAAGTAGACAGGGTGGATTAGGTAAAAGGGCCCTCAGCAATTGGCACATGCTGTTGTGGAGACCCTGCCCTAGTTGGCAAAGCTAAATAAATAAATAAATAATGCAGAGTTAAAAAAAGATGTGACAGTAAGTTCAAACTACATGTAATTACCCAATTCATCTAGTGCTGTTTGCAACTTTTCCTTTGTTGCTTGTAGCTCCTCCTCCAGTTTGATTTTACTCTTCTTGCATGCTACATTGAGACACTTTGGAGGCTTGTGTTGTTTTGGCTGCTTTCCTCCAAAGTGTGGATGAGTACCGGGAGTGGTTTTATTTTGTGTTGGAGTACTAACAGATGGATGACATGGCAGTTCTGACAATTCCGCATTTAATATTTGGGTGATTAGCAGTTCATCATGTTCTGCATTTAAACTAATCTCCTCTTGTCTCTTGTTTGGTTTGGATTTTTTGTTGCCACAATTTTTGGAGCCTATAGAAATAAGATGAATTCAGGAAATGATGTATAAATATGTCAATAGGTAATCTATGAAGTTACAACACTAGCCACCCAGTTACCATGACGACCTTATTACTGTTATTAGCCTTTTATCTCGCAATGTGTGTAGATACAAGCACCCTATTTTCATGGTCAAATACACAACAACAATTTTACTTGTCAGTGATACAGTAGAGTACCGTAGTGCTAGTAAATGGTTTAATATTAAGTGCTGACAACCCTGTAAGTGTATACTTCAAACACTGTTTTTCATAGGAAAAGTTATATTGCTATGACTTGATTACATTATAATAGTAAACAAATGATGATTTAACCAGTCCTTAAAATATCTGACAAAATGTCAGATGACTAAGTTGAGTTTGGGTCGGACATGCGTATGATGATGTCCGATGACCTTCAGTTCAGTTTGGCTCAGAAATAAATCTGAATGACACAAAATAATATCAGCACGATACCGAATATTAATTCTGAAAGGTAAATGCCGCCCCGTACTCGATTACATTAAAACAACATTTCCAGTTCACTTTTTGTACATCACTCCATTTAATAGCATACAAGCCTTTACTCCTGGACTAGGGTACCATACATTTTGATTTATGAATTATGTTGGACAAAGCTACAGTTCGGTTGGACATCACTACACTGGGGTCGGACAAATAATAAACCTCAGTTTCAATTAGATCAGACAGAATGTCCCGTGGTTTCCTCCGCACGTAGGACAATTTCACGAATGGGTCGGACAATGTTCGTAACCGACCGATATTGACTGGCCTCATAGGAATTCCCATACTCTGGAGTTACCGTACCTGTGGATTTTCGTTTTTGAGGCTTTTTACTTGGTTTATTCAAGACTGACACTGTAAATGAGAATTTCACTCTTTCAATGCACTGTATTAAACAGATATCATGCCTAATTTAATTAAGTATATCGATTACATAACCAGGTTATGAAGTCCAAGAAGTCTTGCCTACCGACACAAATATTTCCATGTGTTCATATGGAATATTTCGTCCCACTTGCCGAGATGTAATTATTATTAGCGTATGACTACATCTCAGTCAAGCAACACAAATATATAGCGATTTTAGTTTTTTTTGGTTTACTTATAAGAAAAAGTATTGCTTTAGGTGCATATTTAATACGTGTTTACAAAACAAAGATAAAACTAAGTAAAAAGTGTTGAATTAAATGGCAAGAGTTGTTTGACTTCACCCGGTAAGCGGGCTGGCGTGTTCATATGGAAAATTTTTCATCCCGCCTACCTATGATCTCGGCAAATTCAAACAAGATCTCAGCAAGCGGGCCAGCTCGCTTTCTCATATGAACACAATGCAAAATTTTGTAGGAAAATAACTAGGCGGCGTGATTATCGGTAAGCGAGAAGTCCCGGTAAGCGGGATCATATGAACTGGCCCTAAAATACTCAATAATTCATAAACGTTGTGGCAAATCATATCAGCCATAATATGTCATGTGGAGTGACTTTATATCTCAGAAAACTCATCTTCATTAGTGTTCTTTATATAATTGTTCATCCTAATTAGTATGGTTATACAATTGTTCATCCTAATTAGTATTCTTTTGTAGTCATAATGTGTTTATGCAATAAAAATAGTTAACTTCTAGCACGAGTTGTGTTGTGGGTCGTTATAATATGTAATTTATGCATTTATGCAGGGTTCAATTTCATTGACCAATCAGAAGCAGTCTGTTGTCTGCGGGCGGGAGTTTGCCATTTGCTGTGCTCACGGGCTGTGCTCACTTGCATACTGCTTCTCACACTGTGAACTCGCTTTTGGTTTTCTATTTTTGTTTTTCTGGCGATTCTTGTGCTTCGTTTGGGTTTTGGCTTCTATCTTGGATGCCTCGGCTCACTCCCCGTCCTGCTCCGTCCTTAAATCCCATCCTCCAGCCGGCGTCTACTTCCCAACATTCCATCCTCCAGCAAGCGTCCAATTCCCTGGATCCCATCCTCCAGCAGGCCTCCATTTCCCCGGATCCCATCCTCCAGGAGGCAATTTCCCAATCTCAAGTCCAGGCACAGGCTGCCCTCCAGGCACAAGCTTTGCTGCAAGCTCATGCTCAGGCACATTCGAATGCTATCGCTCAAGTGCACGCCTGTGGTCAAGAGTTGGCATCTCCTTCAAGGCTTCCTGCTGGCCCGGTTTTGCCGTCTGGTGCATCGTTGTTGCTTCAACAGCTGCCAAATAATCCGCCAGCTGCAGGTTTGGCTGCACCAGGTATGTTTTTTGCCTTTGGCTCGTACGCAACCTGCTGCTTTCGTTGTTGGCCCTGGGTTTCTCCCGGTCCCTGGTAAGACGGTGACGAACATTATTTCTGGTCAATATATTGACTTGGCCACACTGTTAGCAAAACCGTTTGACATGCGGTCTCTTTCGCCTTTAATTTACATTGATGGGCAGGTAGTGGTCTTTCAAGCTTCCAAGCCGGCCCGGCGCCTGACCGATATTTCTCAGTGGCTGCAGGCGTTTGCCATATACATGCTTATTATGGTTACATATTTGCCCAGCCGCGCTGCTGACTTGATTCGTTACCAGCTTCTCATTTTACGTATGTATACTCAGTTCGGCGGCTTAGCTTGGTACATTTACGACGAAGCTTTTCGCCGTGACGCCGCAGCACGCCATGTAGTTGACTGGTCCGGGATGCATGTCGAATTGTACAATTTTCACACCCTGCCTTTGTTAGCCTGAGCGTTATCGTGTGTGTACCTGCTTGGTACGATATTATATAGTTGTTTTTGCTAGCATTGTTTACCTGGTAAAGGCACTGTTTGTTGCGCAGGGCACTGCTTGTGCCCTGCCATTGTTAGCTTTATCATGTACGTACCTGCTTGGTACAGTTATCTTGTGCTAGCATTGTTGCACAAGGCACTGCTTGTGTCCTGTCCTTGTTAGCTTATAGTGTACCTGCTTGGTACAGTATATCGTTGCATGCGTGTAAAGATTGTCAAAATGTCCTTACTTAGCTCAAGTGTGTGTCGGTGTTCTTATTTATTTATTTTTTTCTTCTGTGCGGTACTGGTCGCCCTAGCGTTTTATTGTTTCTTTGTTTTAGCTCGTCCAACGCTTGGCCTCAATACTCTGGTTGCTGCCGTAACCCCGCTAGTCCTCGAGGTGTTTACTCGGGAATTAGCTGCCTATCCCCTGTCCAAAAGGCGCTATGTCTTAGATGGGATTAGGTTGGGCTTTTGTGTAGGTTGGGAGCCTGATCGGGTATCCTTGCGTTCTCGGACGTCTAATATGCGCTCTGCCTCTGACCATCCAGACGTCGTGGATGCTTACCTGTCTTCAGAGTTAACGGCCAGACGCGTGGCAGGCCCGTTTGCCAGCCCTCCGGTTCCGCTCCTTCATGTCAGCCCCTTTGGTGTCATCCCCAAGAATCACCAGCCTGGCAAGTGGCGCCTTATCCTAGATCTGTCCTCGCCGGCTGGTCACAGTGTCAATGACGGTATCCCCAAGGATCCTTACTCGTTGCATTATGTGAAGGTTGATGACGCCATTCGTGCTTTGGTCGATATGGGCCCCGAGGCGCTGATGGCAAAGTTCGACGTCAAAGCAGCTTACCGTAATATCCCGATACACCCTGATGATCGGTACCTCTTAGGTATGAAATGGCGTGATCGTTTCTACGTTGATCTCGTGTTGCCATTTGGTTTGCGGTCGGCCCCGTTTATCTTCAATTCGGTTGCTGAGGCCGTGGAATGGATCTTGGTGCATAATTATGCTGTCAGCCAGCTGTTCCATTATTTGGACGATTTCTTAACCATGGGTCCTGCCAATTCGTCCATTTGTCAATCCCACATGGATAACGCTTTTACCGTGTTTGCCCGCTTGGGTCTCCCTTTGCATTTGCAAAAGTGCGAGGGCCCGTCCACTGTTTTGGTGTTTCTCGGTATCGAGTTGGATTCCGTACAGTAGTTAGCTCGTTTGCCCCGTGACAAGGTCGATCGCATCCTGCGGCTTCTCCAGTCGTGGTCTCGTAAGAAAACGTGTACGCGTCGTGACCTGGAGTCCTTGATTGGCTCCCTTCATCATGCCTGCCGAGTTGTGGTGCCTGGTCGTACCTTTCTTCGCCGCATGATCGATCTATTATGCTGTTTTCGTCATCGCGACCATCCCATTCGCTTGAATGTTGAGTTTCGTAGAGACCTACAATGGTGGCTGTCTTTTTTCCAGGAGTGGAACGGAGTGTCCTAGCTTTTTTCTTTCGCCCGCGGTGTCCCAGTTACCTGATCTAGTTGTTTCATCCGATGCGTCAGGTTCCTGCGGTTTTGGAGCCCTATGGCGCACTGCTCCTGGTTTTTTCTCTCTACGCGCATGTCCATTGCCTTTCTGGAGTTGGTTCCCATCGTCGTGGCGGCGCATCTTTGGGGCCATGCGTGGTCTCGCCTTCGCGTTCAGTTTTTGTGCGACAATCTGGCAATGGTTAATGTCCTCAATTCTGGCACGTCCAAGTCGCACGATATCATGCATCTGTTGCGCTTGCTCACGCTTGAAGCCTGCCGCCATAATTGTGTTTTCTTGGCTGCCAACACCCCTGGCAGAGATAATTCTGCCGCTGATGCCTTGTCTCGTTTGCGCTTACAGGAGTTTCGTAGTGTGGCCCCTCATTCCGATCTTCTTCCCCTTCCAATCCCACCGTCGCTGTTGTCGCGGCTAGTACCGCCTGCTTGATCGACCAGTGTTTTGGCTTGTTGGCCCAAGGTTTGGCTCCATCCACTCGCCGTGTCTACGCTGCTGGTCGACGCGCCTATTTCCAGTTTTGTTCGACTTTTGACCTTCCGTCTTTTCCGTTGTCGGAAGGGCTGTTGATGTTATTTGCGACCTGGCCCGCAAATCGTTCTTGGCACATTAACCTTGGCACACCAGATCCCACCCGCGGGGCGACCAGATTGACCAGATTGTTACGCGCCATCCGCCGCTCTCGTTCTTCGCCTGCATTGTCACGTCTCCCTGTTACCAATCGACTGGTGGGTGTACTCCAGTCGGCGCTCTCCGCTCCGGGGTTTGACCATGTGATGTTTTGGGCTGCATGTTGCACCGCTTTTTTCGGTTTTCTACGTGTTAGCAAGTTTACCTGTCCCGGTGTATTATTATTATTATTATTATTATTATGAACTATATTTCAACACGGTACAATTTTACCTATACTAAAATTAATTATGTACAAGATATAAAAAGAAAAAAGGTGATCTTCCAACCGGCCGTGCTCACACAAACAGAAATAAGAAATAATTACAAGAAAATTATTTTAAGTAGATGGAAACAATGGCAGGATCACTTGATGTTAATTTGCATGCTTCAAGTTAGATTTAAAATTAGCAATAGTTGTTGATGCTTTTACCGATGCAGGAAGGCAGTTCCAGACTTCCGCACCTCTGTAGGAGAATGCATTTTTCATACTATTTGTTTTTGGCTTAGGGAATGTCAAATCGGCTCCCGACTGTCTTGTGTTATGGTCGTGTACATCGCCAACATTTGTGAACATATCACACAAGTAATCGGGGACCAATTTGTTTTTCACCTTCTACATGAGAATTGAAAGTTGTTGCATTCTTCTTTTTTCGAGGTTCGGAACTTTTAGCTTGTTTAATATATCAGCCGATCGTGTCGTATAATTCTCACGAGTGATTATTCGAAACGCTCTGTTTTGTAATTTTTGGACTTTAGCTGCTAATGTTTTCCCTAAGCAACCCCACACTTGAGCACAATAATCGAAATAAGGTTGAATTATGGATTTGTATATTGTTATTAAGGTATTGAATTCGACTGTATCCCGGAGTCGTCTGAGAATAGCAAGGCCTGAAGTGACCTTTTTTGAAATGTGTTCGACCTGCGCGGTCCAGTCTAAAGACTCGTCTATCATTAGGCCCAATGATTTTGTCATTTCAACTCTCTTAATTTCTAAGTTACCTATACTGATAGCAGGATCGGCAGTCACTTGACTAAGCCTTTTCTTGGAACCAATTATCATATATTCGGTTTTACTATTGTTCAGAGTTAATTTGTTTGCGGACAGCCAATTTGCAACATTGTTTAAATCTCTATTTAATGTTTCAGTGATAACTTTGATATCGTCAGTTGATGTTGCAATTTGGGTATCATCCGCAAACATATCTGGTTTTGTCCCGGCGTTTAAACATTTTGGTAAATCGTTGATGTAAATTAGAAATAACAATGGGCCTAAACCAGAACGCTGAGGTATGCCTGTTTTCATAATTGATGGACTTGATAGTTTGCCATTCACACAACAGCACTGGGTCCTATTTGATAGATACGACTCCAGCCAGCGATGTGCTGTTCCCTTTATTCCATAAGTTGCTATTTTGTCTAAGAGTATATATTGTGGTTGACAGTATCGAATGCTTTTTTCAGATCCAGAAATACAATCCCATTTAGTTTCCCAATGTCAATTTTTGTATACCACTCGTTGGTTATGTCCAGTAATGCTGTAACAGTTGAGTGAAGTGGTCTAAATCCGTGTTGGGAGTTTGAAAGTAGATTATAATTATGTAAATAATTATAGATTTGGTTATAAATCAGCTTTTCTGCAATTTTGGCAACTACTGATATAACGGATTTGGTCTGTAGTTTGTCATTTCATCTTTAGCTTCAGACTTAAAGATCGGAGTAATTCTAGCGATTTTCCAATCATTGGGAAATATGCCTGTTAAGATTGACTGGTTGAATATTGATGTTAGGGATGGTGAAATAACTGCTGCCTAAATTTTTAAGATACGAGAGGAGATACCATCGATTCCCGATGCTTTATTGGGGCCTAAACCATGAAGTAGAGTCAAAACATCATTTTCTGAAATTTCTTGAAAGCTAGGGAACCCATTAGCTGGATGGTGTACATCACTGGGAAACCTATCCGGTAAAATATTCGATTGAGGAATTTTATTCGCAAGTTTTCCCCCTAGTTCAACAAAGTATTTATTAAAGGCATTAGGGATCAGCGTTTCGTCAATTACTTCACCATTCTCATCTTTCATTTCTGGGATTTTCTTATTAGTTGACTTTCTCTTCATCAATTCGTTGAGTGTTTTCCATGTTTGTTTTAAATTTCTTGAATTGCTATGTAGTTTTCCTCGATAATAGGAGCACTTTGTATCTTTTATTTGCCTATTGTATTGGTTTTTTGCCTTTCTGTAGACAGACCAGGCATCAGTTGTGTTGGTTGTTCTAGCTTTCTTATGTAGGAAATTAATATGTCGTTTATTGTGAATTAGGTCTGTTGTTAGCCAAGGTAGCCGCTTAGTGCCGACTTTCCGTCTTTTTACTGGGGCATGATTGTTCCAGATTCTGAAGAATTTATTCTTCCAAATCTGCCAAGATATATTTGGATCGTATTGATCCAGGTCAAAATCGGATAAGTAATTTTGTAGGTCGCGCAAGAATATTTGTTCGTTGAAATGTTTGGAGTCGCGGGATTCGATTATTTTTGCATTTTCTTTGCAGACCTTAAATTTTCTGATGCCATAAATAAGATAGTGATCACTAATGGAAACAGTTGACACTCCCTTTGAAATAATATTATCAGGATTTGTTGTATAAAAGTGATCAATTAATGTCCGAGTATCTTTAGTAACTCTTGTAGGTTCACTTATCAATTGTTCATATTGATACAGTCCTGTAATAAATTTGAGTTCCGAAGCTTGGGGAGATGGACTTGTGGATAAGAAGTCATAATTTACATCTCCTAGGATAATACTTTCTTTATTGTCATTGTCTATTAGTTGTAAACAGTTCTCAAATCTATAAAGGGTGTCAATTGGATCGTTTGGTGGTCGATACCACGTTGTAATTAAGAACGGTTTAACGTTATGTTTACTAATTTGTATTGTAAGAATTTCAATATCATGATTATTCAGGTCAGTTCGAGGTCGAAAATTTATTGAATCTCTAATGAAAAAACCGATACCACCCCCAGATCTATTTCTGTTTTTGGAAATCCAATTGTAACCTTGAATGGCTATTGACTCGATTGGCACACTATCGTCCATTCGTGTTTCATTAATTGCAAGAACATCTATTTCTTTATCATTAATGCAGATCCGAAGTTCGTCAATGTGTTTTGGTAGACTTGTTATGTTCAAAGAAGCTATTTTGAAGCCTCGGATAGCCGGAACTAACCGGTCTTGTTGATTGTCAATATAATTTAAATTTGAATTGTGCTCATAGCGTAGGGTTGACTTTCTAGTTTCGCACATTGTGCTTAATTCAATATTGTTAGTGTTACCACCTATGTTAACCTTAAATATTTCCAATCTCCTCAGCTACTTAAACCTGTCAAGTAGAAAGCGTAGTTGTGTATACCAGTATGGTCGATCTAGTGTTGATCACAACCTGCGAGTATATAAATAACATCAACGATTATACGACCATTGCACAGACTCAGTATCGTAAATTTGTATATAAATTTTTTTAATTGAGCACATTTTTAATACAGTTTGAATTTGGTTATGTAAACATCGAACATGATCACATTGTCGACATTTGTCGTATTTACAAAGTTATTTGTATATATAACTTTCCCGCCATATTAAAAATACTGAAATCTGCTAGGCGTTCTGAAGCACCTTTAGCGGTGACGTCACACCTAGGTCCCAGTCTCGTACTACATCCACTTTTTTCTCGCGCTTGCTTCAGAACGACTGGGACTAGGCTGGGTCATCCACATAAAGGCTTCGTCTGATCTCTTCTACTTCATATGGGAATCTCTCTTGACACAGTTCCAAATGTTGTTCAATCACACCTCCCAGATAGAATAGAATAGAATAGAAACTTTATTTCACGAGGGAAAACGTATTAACCGTAAAAGTTATCTAACATACGGCCCTCAGATGGAAGGGGGATGGAGCCAGGCCAAACAGGGTACGTGTGAATTGTAGTGTTTCAACTTCTTTAGTTTCCAGATCTTTGAACCAATGAAATTTCAACACATCTCGATCTTGATTCTTTATCCACACTTGTTAAAATGCTTGCTTCAGATCACCAGCAATGGCCACTGGATAAAATCGATTTCTCACCAACACACTGCAAAGTAAGTTCTGAAGGATGGCCCAGTTTCCAAACACTCGTTCAGGGAAGGTGCTTTCTCATTCTCTCGAGCAAAGGCGTCGTAAACGATGCGAAGCTTGGTGGTCTCGGCTGAATCACGAACAACGGGTTTGTGAGGGATGTAGAACTCACGACCATCTGCTTCTTCTGTTGCTTTCTCTACAATGCCTTGCGATAACTGATCTTTGATAACATCATCATACTTCTGAAGCATACCGGGTTGTTTCTCCAACTTTCTGGCAAGGTAATTTAACCTTATTAGACTTCCCAGCTCATTATTTGGTAAAGGTGGATAGCATCCTCTCCAGGGAAGGCCGGTTTCATATGATCCATCTGGGCGCCTGATCAACTGTTCTTGAATTATTCAAACACACTCTGTTGGTCTCCTACTGGCGAATCTTTCAAGCCCAACACATCAAGGTTGCAGAGATTTTCATAGTCCACGGTTGACGTTTGCGTTAAGAACATGTTTGACAAGTCCACTTCACTTCCAGGTGAGATAAGGGTCCAACCAAAGCGGGTCAATTCTGCAACAGGGTCTCCAGGTTTACCAACACGGGGCCTGGTTTCGGTTTTAATTTTCGCATATTCACTTGCCCCTAGAATAAGTTGAACAGGCAATTCTGGCTTCTCATCCACATCTTGCATCTTTATTCCATTGAGGTAGACGAATTTCTCTATTATCTCCTTGTATCTGGGGTTGGTTAGGGAAAGGAGTTTATCACGGTCAACTTTAATTGGATTTTGGATTCTTGTTGCTTTGTTTGGAAGCTTCTGGTTTTTCTTTGTACCAAGTGAATTGGTGTCATTAATCTTCTCCTCCTTTTTGATTGGATTTCTCACTGTCCACTTCCCTAATGCTTCAATCAATTCTGGGAATTTCCACTCTTGCCAGGAGTCATCAGTTGGAATTAGATCTCCTCGAATTCCTTCCAATTTATCAATAGTCGTTCGAACATAACCAGCTATTTCTTTCAACTTCCCCAGGGTTTCAAGCGATTGGGCATTCCATAGAAGCTTCTCGTAAAAATCATGTATCTTTGCAGGATTGGAGCCCTGGACCCGAGGTAGCAATAATATATTCTGGATATAGGCATTAACTATTTCGCTAGTATTCCCGTACTTGCCCTTCAAAATAGCTTTGGCGCGTTCGTACCCTTCAGAGGTCAGGCGTAAACCATCAATACGGCTTCAAACTTTTGCCTCTAGCAGCTCTTTAAGTTAGGAAAATTTAGTTACAATAGGTATTTCTGCAGCCTCTATTTCCGCCTCAAACTGAGCCAGTCAGTAAATTCTCCGTTAAATTTCGAAATAACAAGTTGTGGTCGCTTTGAATTTGACCTTGAAAGATTATCCTTAGTCTTGATTTGAGCTTGGCGGCTTTCTTCGATTTTCTTCTCATACACCATTCGTTGTTCAAATTTTTCTTCTTCAAATTTCATCTCTCGTTCGAATTGTTTCTGCTTCATTTGCTCTATAAGTTGTTCTTCGTCTCGCTTTGTTTGTTCCAATGATCTTTTGTTCAGTTCCTTTATCACGCTTTCAAGCTTTTCTATATTCCCTTCAAAAATCGTCAACTGGCTGTCAGTATTCGAGCTCCACTCACGTATATTTTCTGTCTCCTCGTCACTTTGAATTTTAAGCTCTTGTATTTCTACTTTTAAACTGTATACTTCGTCCAATTTCGTTTTGAGCACTCTTTGTTGTCTTTCGAGTGACGGTACGTGTCCTTTCTCAATTGTTCGTTGTGTTTTCTTCATCGGTTAGGTTTAGTAGTTTGATCTTCGTCTTCATCGATTTCAATTTACTTTCGTAGGTCGCCATATTTTCACTAATTTCACAAAAATTTCCCGAGATTTCCGTTTAAAATCGCAGTTCTCATCCCGTCGGAGGTGCCACTTTGTCGATAATCGCTTTATGAGACGACAATAAAGACCTACGATTGGTTTTGTTCCTTTTTAATATCTAAAACATGCTATTTTTATGCTAAATAAATGCTCTCGAAAAACAACAACGTTCCGCCATCTTGGATTCTCACACGTGTTTTTTAACCCTATTTATCCATACATATCAACATGCATAATCGCCTGTCCGTCTCTATCTCTACATATCAACATGCATAATCGCCTGTCCGTCTCTATCCCTCACTTTCCCACACATACAATTGCAGAATGAATACCCAGACAGAAGCACTGATCACAAGGCGCGAAACAACCCCCTTTGATCGATATGACGTCACAGACTCCCCTCAGCAGATATGGCCTGCATAATACATCCGCCGTTAACCTTGCTTAATTAAATGTATTTAATCACATCAAGATAGCTGATGTAATATAAATAATACATTGTAAAGTAATATAAATAATACATTGTAAATTTATCTCTGCAATCCGTACAGACTGATTTGCATACAACACACAGAAGACAAGATAAATCCATACTATTTAGTGACTATGATTTAGTCGACCAAATGTTGTTTAGTCAACCATCAGTGACCATGATTTAGTCAACCAAATGGATACCAGGTTATTAAGCAAATTCCTTCAAATTTAATTGCAACACCCCCGTCATTTTCTTGAAAAAATTTAATAGCCCCCCCTTTTCAAATTTGAAAAAGCCCCCCCCCCCCATTTTCAAAAAAATAGCCCCCCTTCTCAAAAAAACTTTTCGAATTTGACTACAAGTTTGACTTTCGTAAAAACAACTGGTTTAGACCGTTCTTTTGGTTTATGTATTAGCCTAAGGCTAGTTTCAGCAAATATAACGATACATGTGATTAATTCAGTTGTATCACAGGACTAAGGGACTGGTCATAAAGTAAAAGGAGGGAGAGGCAAGGAAAATCATATATTCGGTGCCTGCACTTTTGGTAGCCCACTTCTTAATAGCTGCACATGGAAAAATTCGTGGCCCACCCTTAAATTGGTGCTGACAAATTATGACTCACCATTTCAGAAAGGCAAAAGATGCCAGCGTTCTATTTTTCTTTGGCAAATAATTCTGAGTTACAATACTCAATAGTTATTCAAATAGTGCAATTAAAATTCAGGACCTCTTTTAAGAATGTGTAACTGGAGGGGACATATTTAGCGGGGACCTGGAAAGTTCCAGTCGGCAAGTTTGTATCACTGCAGCTACCAGCATATATATGCATGTTTTAACTAATAAGTCTACGTCATAGGTAAGGGCGTCAATCTATCCCAAAAAGTGGGGGGATGGACTCCAAACTATGAAAGTCCGTTGGCATGCTACCCGAAATTTTTTTTTAATTTTGGTACACTGAAACGGCATTCTCAGCGTTTTCGAGGCACTTATATAGTTATATTACAATGTGCATGATCTTAACTCCACGTGAGAAATGTGATAATGTTAACCATGTGAGAAATACCGCTCTAGAAACCAACATGTCCTAACCTGTGAACAGACGTTACTCTGGATGAACGTGTCCTCACTCTTATTTTATAATATTAATAATCTATTAAATTAACCATTTGCCTTATTTTGAGGATAATTATCTATGTAAGGGAAACTCAGTTAATCAATATTTATTAGCCCCTGGAAATCTACATATAACTTCTCTTCAGTGGCGGACACTTTACGAAATATTTTGTAAAAAACTAGGTTTTCAAAACACTGTTTTAATGGTCGACATTCAGTTATAAATCACATGCTAAGCATAGAAAAACAACATTTCAGAGAAAATATTTACATGATTATTAACATTTCTGAATGGAATTGCATGTAAAGATTTATTCGCTAAGTGAGTGAAATTTATTCGCTGCGCACGCTTTTTTTTTTGTTAACATAATTAAAATTGGAATGTTAATTGAATTATCCTTTGCTTTTGAACATAATAGTTTATACGCATTCAAATATTAATGTGCAGCTGAAAATTTCGCTGCTAAAGACTAGTATAAGCTTCAAAAACAACAAAACATCGACAACGACATTTAAAGAAGTGCCTGTTGCAAAAAGTTGACCTCCTAGTATCCGTCAAAAAGAATGTATAAAATGCATATGTTGTGTCATGTACAGTACAGAAATGTATATTATTATATTGTTTGGTATATTGCTTACTGTTTTAGCTTAAGTTTTATGAAATTGTTATTATTTAATATGACAATTACGTTATATGAGCGTGATTTGTGTT